ATCTTCAGAACTATGACCAGATATATAGGAAGTAGTGGTTTAGTATTTGGATAATTGGACTAATGTTTTTCTCACTAAAACTCTCACACGGGTGAAAGTTGAAAGAATATAATATGAAGTAATCACTCTGTAGCCTTTTTCTCTCAGTATTCAACCTTAGAAAATTCGTACATGTAAGGTTTGGTATTTATAGGTTGGTTAACAAACGAATGGGCCAAGTTTAAAAATATTCCCAGATAAACATGTCACTCGAGCCAGAGCTCAGCGACGATCGAGTGACAACCTGTCGCTAGAGCGAAGGTGGGGCGACAGTCAAGCGACCATATTTCTATTTTTGTAGCTCGAGCCAAACCTTGGCGGCAGTCTAGCGAAAGCCCGCGCCGTTTTCCTTTTTTTCCCATTCTCGAAACCCTAAACATAAACACCTAACTTTTCAACTATTTGCACATTACTCCTTGAACTTTTACAATATATCAATTTCAGTCATTTTGTTTACAGAATCGCCAATTAAATTTGCACATTACTCATTGACTTTTTAAATATAGTACAATACAGGCCTTTTGTTTACAGAATCGCCAATTACAAAAATTCTAAAACCTAACATTTACAAATGCACCAACAATTGATTGTGTTAGTTTTTGATTAATTAATACATGTTTACAACCTAGAAAATTTTTTATTTAATGGGGAAGGATACTTTTTTTATTTCATTCAATAACCAAATGGTAACCAAATGTCTTATAAGTATGTACTAAAAATCATATATGACATATATCAAATTTTAATGAATTTTCAAAGTCCACTTAAATTTAGGTGTCCCCAATTCTAATTAAAAAATAGACTCTATTAAAATATATTTAACCACAATAACTTCTTAATATTTAAGGATTTAAATAGTTGGAAAGATTTCAATAGATTCTAGTGGAATTGGAGCCAAAAATTATAAATATAATGTCAGACTTTCTAGATTGACAAAGACATCAATTTTTCAGCAGTGATTCATATGTTTACGCATTTTATATTCTAATTACAAGGACAAAATTTTTCTTTTTCTTCTGATGGGTTTTAAAAAGTTATATCATTTTATTGTTGTCTCAAGAAATCCATCAAATCTCAATGAATCTATTCAAACCTTGTAAACTTTTCTAAATCTCTATTTAAATCTACGAATCCATAATCTTAAGAAACCTATTGATTTCTGAGTTGTGAACACTCCTTAAATAAAAATATATTTTTGGGAAGTTAAAAAATGTACTGATCAAGTTGAATAGATCTTTTAGTTGTCATGTCTAAAATGTCACTTTTTCTTTCGTTACGAGATTTTGTGTTTAAATATCCAATAATGCATGAAAATTTGTTCCTCTTATCTTGACTTCGGTAAATGTTACTAAGATTCTCAATGTTAAGAAAACATATTTCTCGTGTCTAAAATGTCACTTTTCCTTTCGAGTGATCTACGGGAGATAAACGATTCCAGAAGATCATGAGCTGTTGTAGGAGCATGCAATCCAAGAGGGCCATGGTGATTACAATCGGAGGTTAGAGAACAATCTATAAGTCTTTATCGTTTATTGTTGGAATTTGAGTGTGACCCGTATTTCTTATTGAAGTAATTGAAGAATTTTAATTGAAGTGCATGTCAAGAAGAATTCAAGTTTGGAATGCTATTAGAGTCCTATGTTAAGTTAAAGTTTTATTTTGGAAAACCATTGGGAGTTGAAATTTGTATTGGACTTGAAGAGGTTAAAATTTTGGACCGGGAAGAAAAGTCGCTACATTTTCGCTAGCCTAGCGCTATGTAGATGCTCAAGCGAGGACGACAGAAAAACACTTGAGACTCTGTTGTCCACCTGTTGCTACCCCATCGATCGAGCAATGGGGCTATCACCCGACTATCGCTCAAGCGATAGTACCCATTTCGTGTTTTAACGCGTTTTTAACATTCTACTTCAACTACAACTCACCTACTAGGGTTTGGATGTTGCTCTACATGTACTCTATAAATACTAGGCTCTTCTTTACAATTTAAAGTGTGAGATTTATGATTACTAGTTTTTATGATCATTGTAATATTTTTCTCTCTTCTCCATTATTCTTGTTGTGCAATGAAATTTCTTAATTCCTCTGCCATATTCTTGTCTTTATAATTCTTTTACTTGATCATATACTTCATTATTATTTTCCATATAACTTCAACATCTCAATTTGGTGATTGGTGTCACAACAAGTTGTATTAATCCTAACAAGTGGTATCAGAGCCAAAGTTCAGCAGTTCCGCAGAGCGCAATGCTTGATTTGTTCAAAGTTTTCACTATGGCAGGTTAAGATGCGTGTAGTACTCGCATATTCCGAGTTCGATAATACGTTGTTGGGAATTGACAAGGTGCCCACAACTTTGACCACGGATGAGAAGTTACAAAAGGATAAGAAGAATTAAGATGCGTGTAGTACTCGCATAGTCGGAGTTGGATAATACGTTGTTGGGAATTGACAAGGTGCCCACAACTTTGACCACGGATGAGAAGTTACAAAAGGATAAGAAGATAGTTTCTCACATTCATCTACATCTATCAAATACCATTCTCCAGTACGTTTTGAAGGAGAATTTAGCAGTTGCTTTATGGTTGAAGTTGGAGCAATTGTGCATCACTAAAAGTCTGACAAGAAAGTTGAACCATTGTGCTTGTTGCCCGCTTCGTTTTCTTTTTTTAGAGACACGATCTTGCATAGTTGTGATACTCTCACCATAGAGGAGGTATATGATGCTTTATATTCAAAAGAGAAGATGAAACATTTAGTTTCTGAGGCCAGAGATGGAGAAGACCTAATTGCTCATGGTGGTTCTGAAAGGGGCAGAACGAAATCTAAGTTCAGTAATCAAATTTGTAATAAATGCAAGAAGAATAGGCACTTGAAGAAGGATTGCTACAAATTGCAGAATAAAGAAAGGATGGCTACAGTAGACATTTAGATAATTCAGGCGAAGCAGAGCTCGTGGAGAGCGTTGTAAGTGATGGAGATCTCTTAGCTATTTCTAACATGGAGTCTAAACCAGAAGATGATTGGATTCTTGATTCAGCATGTGTGTTTCATATGTGTCCTGATAAATACTTGTTTACTATATATGAAATTGTTTCCAAATGTGTCATGCTTATGAGAAACAACGCACCTTGTCAGGTTGCTGAAATTGGTACAGTTAGATTGAAGTTTTTGGATAGAACAATTAGAACACTTGGCCAGGTTCATCATGTTCCGAATTTGAAGAAGAATCTCATCTCATTGTATATCATTGATTCAAATGGTTATGAGTTCTTTGGTGGAGGTAGAGCCTTGAAAGTTTGTAAGGGTGCTCAGATTGTATTGGAGGGACATAAAATGTATCAGTTATACATCTTGCAGGGTCGTGCAGAATTTGGAAGAGTTAATCAGTACAGGTTCAGTATCGTGGCGGACATTCAGTTTGGTACAATACCTTTAGGAGCTCATAAATGGTCAAATTTGAAGAATACAGTTCAGTAGAGTTCAAGATATATGGATAATGCCGCTTTGCCACAATCACCTACGGTGTCATTGTATTCAATTGCTAAGGATGGACCCAGTGGAACAATGTATGTGGATGCTAATTTTGTCGAACATGTTTTAAGTAGAGTAGAAGGTGTACAATTTAGCAAAGAGCCTTTTGTAAAAACATTTGGTATTGATTCTGCTTTGGGGTGTGTTACAACTCATTTTAGTTAATTTAAAATCATTATGATTTTTTGAAATTTAAGGTAATTCTGCAGAGTAGTGTTTAGATTCATTGGAAGAGGTAGAATACTTTGTATTTGGTTGGAGAAATTAATTTTGTAGTTATTGTTGAAGAAATCAGTTCATTCCTTGGTGGAATTCATGTCAATGTGGAGATTGTTAGAATTTGGGTATGACCCGAATTCCTTGTTGAAGTAATTGAAGAATTCTGCATGTCAAGAAAAATTCAAGTTTGGAATGTCATTGGAGTCTTATGTCAAGTTAAAGTTTTATTTTGGAAGACCATTGGAAGTTGACATTTGTATTGAACTTGAAAATGTTAAAATTATGGACATGGAAGAAAAGTCGCCGCATTTTCGCTAGATGGACGCTCAGCGAGGACGGCAGAAAAACACCCGAGACTCTGTCGCCTGCCGTTGCTACCCCGTCACTCGAGCGACAGTGTTATCCGACCCAAGTCCGTTTCACGTTTTAACACGTTTTTAACATTCTACTTCAACTACAACTCACCTATTATGGTTTGGACGTTGCAGTACATGTACTCTATAAATACTAGGCTCTTCTTTACAATTTAAAGTGTGAGATTTATGATTACTAGTTATTATGATCATTGTAATATTTTTCTCTCTTCAAACAACTCTACCAAGAGGTATTGGGCGTCCCATACATGTTTCCTATAAATATTAGGTTCTTCTATACAATTTTATGGTGTGAGATTTATGATTACTAGCTTTTAGGATCATTGTAATATTTTTCTTTCTTCTCTATTATTCTTGTGATGTAATAAAATCTCCTAATTCCTCTATAATATTCTTGTCTTTATAATTCTTTTGCTTGATCATATACTTCATTATTATTTTCCATATAATTTCAACATCTCAATGTAGTGATTGGTGTCACAACAAATGGTATCAATCGTAGGAGGCTTAAACACATGATGTGTTTGCTATGCTCTGCATATATGGTAGATTATATCCTTGGAGACATTCAAGTGTGAAGTCCCAGTCGCCACAGTATTCATTATATCTTTTCTTTTATCATATTTGTTTTGTATATTTTATTGTTTTTAATTTTGTAAGGGCCATATCATACTGACCAAATTGTAGCTAACACAAACGTTCCATAACTTGATTGAAACAATCAGCAGCATTCTTTTTTATCACATATTTTTGGCTAACTAGGCATGCCAAATTTTAAGATTAGATTAATTAACAATAATGAAAGAAAGATAGCCTGATAGCCTGCTTAATTAACTAGGCAGCATAGGCAACAATTGGACTCCTCACGTGAAACATTCCATCGTTCCACACCAAAATACCAGATAGCCTGCTCGAAGTCAATGTTGCATTAACAGTCACTACAAATGTTTGCTTCTGCCCAATAGATTTGAATGGAAGAATGGACGGCAAAACATTAATACTGAGTCCGGTTGGCGCAACTATGACCGCAGTGTAAGTGGATACTGGCGAACCGACATTTGTGACTGTCCGATGGAAGACACGGGTGACGAAACCACCGGACTTGGTAGATAACGCAAAGGAAGGATAGTTTAGGTCCCAAACTGTACCATTGTTATGTTGAGTGCAAGTGATGTTCTCTCCAGTAATAAGTGTCAGGTTCTTAAGGCTGTAACCTTGCCCACATAGGAATTTGACGTAGTCATTTGGTCCCATATCGTATACCAAACCAGGACTTTTAGCCTTCACTGGATCGATATGACCCGATCCATATGCAAACTCACCATCCGTGTTTGTATTCGCACTCATTGGAGCAGCTGGAAAATAAAAATAAAGAGAAGCAATGGTTGAATATTTATGCCCCTCTTAATCCTCAAACTTGGTGTTCAACTTCTAAAGAAATTTGTTGCAGAAATGCTAGACTTGATCAAGTATTTTTTCATTGGAGAGACTAACTAGAGCATGCTTGAGCGAGCCTTTTTCGAAAAGCAAGAAAAGATTTGATTTCATTGTCGTGAGGTTATATTGTATGTTACCTTTCTAATTTTGTAGTTGTTTTCAGAATAAATACTTCATCGTTTTTACATCTCTATCTTACGATGATATACTACTTTAAATTCAATATTAATAACACAATATCCTTGTGGCAGTTAGACTGAAAAACACACTTAAAACTCTAGTATCAACAAAGAGAATTACCGGTAGTCATCAAAGCAGACTTGATGGCAGCAGGAGACCACGTTGGGTTAAATGATTTAACGTAAGCAGCTGCTCCAGAGGCATGAGGGCATGACATGGATGTTCCGGATTTAATATTGTATGGTACAACTCTTGTATCTCCTTTCCATTCAGTAACTGTAGTTAGCTCTGACCATGCAGCAACAATGTCCATACCAGGTGCACTCAGATCAGGCTACAAGAAAGCAGAAAAAAGACACCCTCAATATGTGTACATATTGATGAATAGAAAATGATAATTAACACTTTTCATACCTTGAGGATATCTCTTGTGATTGGATTTGGTCCTCTAGATGAAAAGGAAACCACAAAGGGGGCCAGTTTCTCTACTCCTTCAACACTCTTAAAAATGGTAGCAGTTGCATTACTGCATCATTAACAACGTATAATCAGATACTCTTTTGTAAAGGTCAGCTAAATACTCAATTAATTGTGGGAAAAATAAATAGAAGGATACAATTTTATTTACCTTGTTGAGTTGATATGCTTTAAAAACTTCGGTACCATCAACGAATGCCAGGCATGAAGCTGGTAAGGGAAAGGCCGAAGCGGAATCTATGAATCCATCATCTTGCATTATAGTTCCAGTTGCACCCACGAGTACTTGTGGTATTCCATCACCCACTGTATCACATAGGACAATGGTTCCATTTACCTGTTTTGCATCTAACGAGTCAGGTAAGCAATACCTGCATTAATTTATGCATCATTAGAGTTGAAATAAAGTATGACGACATTAACTGTCTAATTGTAGATCTTCTTTATAATCTACCTTGACTCAGAGTCATCAGCACCTGGTGCAGGTACATTTCCTCCATAGACTAATGAGTACATCTCTTCTTGAAGCTCAAATGTGTTTAAAGAAACCCCCTGAAAAATAAAAGATAAGCAACTGAAATTAATATAAAGCAATTCTGAAATTAACAATGAATGTTTGTGACAATCACAACTCATATCACTCCTTTGTTTTTTCTTTACTGACATCACAACTCATATCACTCCTTTATCTGCCTTGATTATTCCTTTTTATGTATTCGTATAAATACACGTATTGACATAATTATCTTGCCAAAACTTTTTCAATTCCAATTCATTTTATTACATACTTTGTCGTAAATAAAGGATGAAACAAGATTTGAGAATGATAATAACAAAGCAAAGATTGTATGGTTAGCAACTAAGTCAACTTATTATAGGTTTTGTAACAGTCCAAATGTTACCATTACACTTCTTACACAATTAAAACCCATTACAATGGCCCCTATATTTAATTTACCTATAGATCCCAATAATTAGTTATTGCATTTACTTATTACCCAACTCATATAATTCATAAAGAGAAAATCACATATAACTCTACAATTAAAGATTAGTTTTCACAAACAAGGGTGTGAAGCTTAAAAATTCAGATTTCAAATGTTAATTACAAATTATTAATTTAAAATTATATTAAATAAATATATTATTAATTACTCAACTCTCTCTCTCTCTCTCTCTCTCTCTCTCNCAAACTTGAATTTGGGATGACAAGCATATCGTATGTGTGCATGCTTTGTGTACTTATATGTAGAGGAGAATTATAATTAAGGCAGCTTACTTGTTACAAGTGAAATTTGAGGAGGCTTGGCAACTGCCTTTCCATTTGCTTGGAGGAGGACCAAACCCTTCATCACTGAAACTCTCTGATTCAGGCCAAATCCCGGAGTCTAACATCCCAACAATAACGTCGCTTTCAATTTTTGTTCTTTTAACGTCTTGAGGGAATCCCATGAAGTCCCATGATCTCGTTGTGTGGAGTTGCTTTTTGGTGCTAGGGAATACAGACACCACTGCATCCATGCCTAGGTACATATTTAATATATGTGGATTAGGCTAGAAGCAGGGTAAATTGGACTCACTTGTGCTGCATTATTTAGCAATTTAATTTATTGAATTTGACATACCAGCAATTGTATCTTTCTCTTCCTCAGTCATCTTGGCAGCAAAGCCATTGAAGCTTTTATGGTAGCTGCGGAGCCAAGATTTTGATGCCCTTTTGCTGAATCCAGCACAACATAAACAATACAAGTTACGTTATTAATTTTTTTTAAACTTTATAAAAAAGAATATAAAAATTTACTTGTGGCAGTTCCATTGTATGTTTTTAGTTCTTTAGCATTTACTTATATACACAAGTTAAACAACCTGCCAAGGACTGATTGCAGCATGTTCCTGTGGATTGATGAAACAGCAAAATCACCCTTGGGAAGTTCACCCATGTACACAATAAATACCTGCAAGCAAATACTGCATCAGCATGTTGATACTTACAAGAATAGAAGAAATCTGAACACGGATTAAAACACTCAGATGTTTCATTATAAACCCAAATTTCATACCTTTTCATTGGTTTCGGATGCTGCATTGCAGCTAACCAGAAGAGTGCTGATCAGAGTTATGAAGAGAAGAGAAGAAGTATGGGAAGCCATAGAATGGATTGCTGAAAGTTTGTTGTTAAGAGGAGGTTCAACAACAATATCAACAAAATATGCACGAATAAAAACGAACAGAAAACTGCAAAAGGCAATAACACCCAAAATGCACAATTGAATGTTTGTTAATTCTCACGTTCAACTGAAGAATTTATAGAGGGGATGTGATTGTACAAAGACAAAACAGCCCCTTATTAAAATAACTAAACATCCCATGTGTTTCACATTAATGTAGCATTATACATACCATTTAACTACCTTCTCATTTTCGAACTTTAAAATGTAGAAACCTTTGTTTTTATTTATGCTTTTTCTATATTTATTGATGAAGGGCCTCGGCCGTTTCCTTCACGGGGCTCCCGACCCACTTGCTGTCCTCTCTGCTCTTTCTGACTGCCCTACACGTGGCTTGCCACGTGGCCGGCATTCTGCCACCCTCGAAACGAGGGGGGGGTAACAATACGTGCATAAACAGATCCACTACTAAGCATCCTTGCACACAAGCCTAAGGCGCCCAAGGTGAATGAAAATGGGTTCTATTACACACTAGTGCAATATCGTACACAATTAAGACCCTTAATATAATCACGATTTTGTTATATTACATTCGAATATCCTATAATTTACGTTACACTTTCCATTTCACAGTTAACTAATCTAAATTCTTTGCTTTCGCAACATAATAATTTAATAATCATGATTCGTAAAAATTTCATCAATTTCTTATTTTTTTTAAAACAAAATATTTAATTTTTCACTACGGTCTATGTACATAAAAATAATTTGGCTTGTAAGCTTTTCGTACTTCTCCGTAATAAACAAGATATTATTCTTGAATTATAAGCCAATTAATCCATTTCCCCATTGATAGTAGCATAATAAGAACCAAAATATGATTCCATTTATTAATTTAGTTAACTTACACAGGCAAGGCCATCACCTTGGGTCCATTTTCTCTTCTCTTCTAACATATTGCACGTGTACACCAATCCATATCGGGCTAATTCTATTAAGCAATAATTAATCAAATTTTCCCACTTTACTGACATCAAATTGAACTCTACAATTAAAGATTAGTTTTCATAGAATAGTAATAATACATTGGGGGCCATCCTCGGTCTTAAAATTGTTCAGCATCTTTAATTTGTTTGAGCATACCTTTTGCTATTTATATAAAAGTAACTAATAAAGGAATTAAAATAATAAATAAATCGTGATACTTGTAGATTCACGAACCTTACAATCACATGTGTTTATAATATTTCAAGCTAATGAACAATCATATCAAGGATTGAAACAAAAACATGTTAATTGATGTATCAAAATCAAGATTTACTAGGAAAGAAACGTTGAACTTTAAGAGAGTCGTCATCGTTATATTCCTAGAATTTTGTTTACTATGATTGTGGCTATTATTGTAATAGTTACCTTAGTTACTGTTGCAAAAAATTGACATGAATACCGAAATGTAGATGCCGATAATCTCATCAAAATGACACCGCTTATTATGCGTAGTCTTATCATTTACTAACCTACCCACAAAGGCTTGTCAGGCTAAATTGCTATGAATAATGAATCTGTATCTATGTACAAAAGTTGCCGACTGATCAACACTTCGTTCCAATTCGACAAAGGTAGAATGACTAATCGAGTAAGTAGTAGGTGTGTTCATTTTGGCTCCAAAGCAAGAATGGTAATGGGAAACGGATGCACCATCCTTGCTGCTACATACATTTTCATAGACCAGACAAATTCATCCAATTTGACACACATTTAAGGAGATTTTTCCATATTTGGGTGATATGCTTTAGCGTGACTGACAAGGCTAGATTAGAAATATCACTACTAGAAAATGAGTCAATAGAGATGGAATTTTAGAAACGGACATTTTCCGTTGAGGTTACCCACGAATTAGCAACGGAGTATTATTTTATTATTCTTAAAAAGTATATATTAAATTACTGACGGAATCACCAACGAAAGTCTTCCGTTGGTATAATTCCATTGCTAATCCGTCGGTAAAAAATAAAAAATAATTAAATGACAAATTAAATAATTTATCAATGACTTTACCAACGGATATTTCATAAAGAGAAAATCACATATAACTCTACAATTAAAGATTAGTTTTCACAAACAAGGGTGTGAAGCTTAAAAATTCAGATTTCAAATGTTAATTACAAATTATTAATTTAAAATTATATTAAATAAATATATTATTAATTACTCAACTCTCTCTCTCTCTCTCTCTCTCTCTCTCGTATATCTATCATCACTCCGTTAACCACCCACATCAATGGCGCTATGAGAGCTATTGATGGCGACTTGCAACGCAATGTAAACCATGCGGTCGCAAGGTTCAGCAGCCTGCCTCCGTTTTGCCATCTTGATTTGGTTGACTTCCAATTCACCTCGGCCTTCGACTCCAACATAAAATTTGACCATTGGTTTGTTAACTTCGTCTCGATGAACTTTGTGGCTCGATCATTTGATTGCATAGCTTCTTTGACTTGATTCAAACCTCGACTCGCCCCCGAACTCGACCTTGACTTCTTCTCAATGCATTTCGAATCTTCACCCGTTTGAAGTCTTGCCTGGATCACATCATGTAATTTGCTAAAAAACCCATTCGGTTTGTAATGAAATTTCTATACAGGGATGACGTGGCCTAACGCACTTGGTATGGATGGAGACCAAGCCAAGAGCATCATCGAGAAAGACAACCAATACGGGACGGTGTGATAATTCATGAACACCATAAAGTAACTCAAGATTTTTGTTGTAACCGAGTCTGGTTTGTTGTTGATGACCATGGCAAAGTTGCGGTCATACCAAGGGTTAGATAGAAAAATAAATATCGAAAGCAGAAGAAAAAAGAAAATAGAAATAAAATATGATGTTTGAGAAAAAAAAAGTTCTCAATACAACAAAGAATAATCAATAAAATTAGCTTTAATACATTGCAAGTGTTTCTCTTTCTTTTGATTAATCGGTTTCATATTATTAGGGTATGGTCTATTTTCCACTTCCTAATATGTATTTGCAAATGCACCAACAATTGATTATGTTATTGATTGACTAGTACATGTTAACAACCTAGAAAATTTTTAATTTGATGGGGGAAGGATTATATTATGATTTCTATTTCATTCAATTCAATAACCAAATGTTTAATTATGTACTAAAAATCATATATGACTTATCTCAAATTTTAATGAATTTTCAATGTCGATATTAATTAAGATGTCCCAAATTCTAATTAAAATATACTCTATTAAAATCTAGGTAACCACAATAACTTCTAAATGTTTAAGGATTTAAATAGTTAGAAAGATTTTAATAGATTCTAGTGGATTCGAGCCAATAATTATAAATATAACGTGTTTAAGCATTTAATATTCCAATTACAAAGACATAATTTTTCTTTTTTCTTCTGATGGATTTAAAAAAGTTATATCATTTTATCGTTGTTTCAAGAAATCCATCAAATTCCAACGAATGTATTAAAATCTTCTGAACTTTTCTAAAAATCCATCTAAATCCATAATTCTTAAGAAATCTATTGATTTCTGAGTCGTGGACACTTCTTAAATAAAATTACATTTTTGGGAGGTTAAACAATAATCATTCAATCTGAACCCAAAACGAAATGTTCCAAGAAAGGAAAAAGAACAAAATGCACGGTGCAACTTTCATCCTCCATACATGTGCATTATATTGTCCTCTTTCACTCATACATTGTCTTGATATTTTGCTTCCTAAAGTGGTCAACCAAAAGTATTATGAAATCATGTTTAAAATATTTTTCAAGATTTGAAGAACTTTTATAGATTTAATGTGTTTCTAGTCAACAAATATTAATACTAAGATCTTAAGAATTTCATCCCGAACCTTCAGATTTTAGTGGATTTTGAGCCTACAATATAAAGAACCATTATTTATACATTTAATAAACATTAAATATATGGTTTTTTAAGGAAAAATAATTAATTTCTTTTCTCTTTTAAATTATCTATGTAGAATTATATTATTTAACGTAATCAAAAGAAATCCTTAAAATCCATAAAATAGAATTACGTTAATGTCTTATGAATTCTATTTAAATTCCTGAAATCTATTAGAATCCACAAACCTTAAAAATTCTATAAAACATAGAGCTCGAATCCAAAAACTGTTTATATAATCCATCAAAATTACAAGAATAAATCTATAAAATCACATAATGATTCTAAAAATTCTTTAAGATTTCAAGCACCTACACTTTCTCACAAAATCTGCATAAAAACAAAAAAAAAAAAAAGTATAAAAAGGTGTAAGAGGCTCTAGCCATAACAAAAACAAAAGAATTTGTGTGAAAATTCACAGACATGTCCTCACGACGTATTCCCTATCCTCCTTGTGTAAATCCTATTTGTGCATCTGGAGAATGCTATTGTGCATATGGAGAATGCTGCAGTAAATATTCCTATCCTATTCACTTGTTGCTTAATTTTGAGTTGCACCTTACATTAATAATTATACTTATCGCTTTCAAACTATTGTGCATTTTTTTATTGTTTTGTAATTTACAAAAAACACATTCAATTTGTAATGAAATTTCTATACAGGGAGGACATGGCCTAACACACTTGGTATGGACGGAGACCAAGCCAAGAGCGTCATCGAGAAAGACAATCAATATGTGACTGGTGTGATAATTCCAGCACACCACAAAGTAATTCTAGATTATTGTTGTAATCGAGTTTGGATTTTTCTTGATGACCATGGCAAAGTTGCAGTCATACCAAGGATTGGATAGAAAAATAAATATGGAAATCTGAAGAAAAAAGTGAGAACAAAAAGTTTCTCAAGGACATCAAAGAATAATCAATAAAAAATCAGCTTTAATACATTGCAAGCGTTTCTCTTTCTTTTGATTAATCAGTTTCATATTACTGGGCTATGGTCTAGTTTCCACTTCCTAACATCAGTATTTACTAAAAAATGCGTAGTTCGACCCTAATAACACTCAGATTGGATGAATAGGTGTATAATACAAAATCAAAATTGTTAATGATTTAAACAGCAACAGGTCACTTTTTAATTTTTTTCTAGATGATTATTCAAACAAGTTAATTTAGTCATAAGTTTGAATACCGCAGTTTGTATAATCAATCAATATAATTAAAGCAGTAATCAACATCAGAATGATCACGGAGAAACCCAAATGAGAAAAACTTCGGACACTTTGCCAATCAATTCACTATAAACGAATTTAACAACTTACAGTCTACCAGATTAGACGACCCGTATTATCTAATCTCCCAACTGCACTCCCTACAGCTATTCGTGGATCCCGTACTCCTCTGCACCAATCCTTAGCTGTTATTGTCAAAGCTCTCCGTGGAATCTGTTATCTTGCAGCATTCCAAGCCTTGTGATTCGTTT